ATTTTAAATAATGTAAACAACAATTCGAGTTGAATCGAAAATCGCCTCGTCTGAATAGGGATGGCAACTTTTTCACTTTCAACTTCTCATTCAACTCCGCATTCAACTTTTGTTGCCTGAAAAATCGCCGCGTGCGAAAGGTCTATTATACTGAGCTAGACTAAAATAAATTGTTTATTTCGAACATACGAAAAAATAATATATAGTATTCAATGGATACAGTCACTATGCGGGTTGGAACTACCGAGGTTGTAGTGGAGAATGTTGTAACTGCAGAAGATGTGGATGTATGTGGGTATATATATGTCTTTTTTTTATAAACTATATTTCTCTTGATTTAGTCAGCGCCCGTCCTTCGACTCCGCTTAAAAAAGCCTGGACCAGACCGACAAGTTGCCTGGCGTGAAGGCACAGTTGATAATGAAAAAATGGGAAAGAAAAAATCTAAGTGTAAGTACATATAAACAAATTGCGTTTAACTTTGGAACACATAAAGACAACCAACCGTTCGGCTAGGGAAAACTAAAAATGCAGATGGATAGTACTTTTAATGCTGATGGGTTGGCTTTAGAAGGGTAACCCCAGAGTGTGGAACTAAGGAAAATATGGGTGGTAGAGGGGGGTCTAATAGTTGTCTTTATTAAATTTCAAAGCGCGGAGCCTTGTAGTTATTAAGAAATTTTTTGTTAAAATTGTAAATTTAACAAACTTGTATGGCAGTATTTCACTATATTTAATGCACTTTCCACTAAATTTACCCGTTATTTACACTCAATAGCTCTGGTCCAATACTTTTCGTGAAAAATCCTGTAAAACAGCTAAATTACTCTCTGAAGTGAGAGTAAAAAGTGAGTAACAACAAAAAGTACGGGAACAAAAAATCCATTTTTCCTGTAAAAAGGTCAACCAGTGATTGCTTGACACTTTTCATGATTTTACCAGAAGAAAAAGTTCGGGTAAAATCTTGCATTTTCATTCTCTACACAACTCTCCAAAAGTCGCTCTCATTTACAGGATTTTGGAGTACGGGAACATTTTTCCTGCAACTTCTTGCAATTTCGTGTAAAATCCTGGAAGTTCATGGAGTATTGGATCAGAGCTAATATGTCGTCGCTTGGGTAAAAGATTGTCATATGTTAATTTCGGCAGGTTGTGGGAAATCGCGATTGAAGTTTGGAATGCAATTTCTCAAAAACGGCAAGATGGACTTTCTCCAAAATCTCTGAAAACGGTACTAGTTCACAAGATTCTTAAATTATTTAACTTTCAATGTTTATTTTTAATTAGTCTTGAGTCATTTGTCCACAATTTGGCAGCCACTTTGTATGAAATACGAAAAAATTTGATCAAAATCTACTAAATTAACGACCCATTTTACTCAATATCTCCTAAACTAAAGGAGATATCCAAAAATTGAGAACACCTTTGCGAACACGTTTATTCAGAACAGCAGAAAAATCCAGAAGAAAGAACAAAAGATGAAAATAGATTATGTGAATAGAGTATGTGGATGGTCTATTTTACACTGGAACATATCTGCCACCAGAACAACTTTGTTTGTGGGCAAGAGAGGCAGTGCGGTGAGGTAAAGTTTCTCAAAAAGTTGTTCCAGCTTCGACCCCGCATTAAAGCGGCACTTCTGCTGCAGCGCACTAACACATGCGCAACTACAAAATAAAATTATACTTTAAAAAACTAAAACCTCCCTATTATAATTGCCATTCGTACTGTCATCAGGTATGTAACTTGAGAATAGAAATCGCTGCATCTTTTAGGCGCACCAATATTACATAGTTACATCCAGTGTTGCCGCGCCGTCCCAAGAAAATGTATCACCGACCAAGCCAAAAATGTATCCAAATGTATCCAATTTTCTTTTTTTACGTATCCATCTCATAATTTGTAAGAAAACCAAACATTTTGAAGAAAAAGACATAATTTAACATATCCTAAGGACTTGGAATACGTGTATATATATTTTTATATTTCATAAAATCAAACATTTGTAATTACCATTTATAAATTACGTCTTTTATACATAAGTATTTTGCAAAGCATAAAAAATAGTAATTAATATGTTACATTTGTACCTGTACACTATGAAAAGTGTGTGTAAACCTACTACTGAAAAATATCTATTTATCAACAGGAATCTGTATAAATATACATACGTATAAGATGTTCAGGATTCGATTTTGAACTTGAGATCTTTAAAATATATACATAAATATACACATGAAATGTTTAAAGTTGCAAAATTTTTTAAACTAAAAATACATTTCCTACAAATAATAAACATTATGAGCTTACATTTACTCTATTTTAAACATTTTATGTGTTATTTTGCGCTCTGCGATAAATTTGGTATGTTAAAGTAAACAGGCAGTGTTTAATTTTATTACACGGTGGGCAAATTTGCACACATTAAAAGAGGAAAATGGTTACCTTTCTTAATATGCGCAAATAAACAAACAAAAAAATTAGAGTGTATTTAAAGTCTTTTCAGTAAAATTCATAAAAATTTCCTTAAATAACTGGGTTTTAATCCGGATTAACTGCAGTTAATTCCCGAGTTGATCCGGATCAACGCTGCCGTCTGTTAAAACTCTTATTACACTGCTTTGGTGAGATCTCTAACTATGTTCATTGCTTAATTCACAAAAAATAAAAGGCTCTAATTTCACGCTTAAGTAGCGATTTTTATAACATTTAGAAAACGTCATTAATGAAAATCTATTTTTGAACGAAAAAAACGTTATAGAAAATATAAAATTTTGGCCAATTTAAAAAAGTATCGACATATATACTGATAGGAAAAAATAAGTATCCCGCAAAGATCCAAACGGCATCCCTGGTTACATCCCGAGCTAATAAAAGGAAGGTAACTACAGCTACGTAACCCTGCAAATATTGTGCGACTAATCTCTAAAGAGAGTATTCCGAGATTACTCTCAATCGGGTACAATAGGGCATTAATTAGTCGCAACTAGTCTCATACGGGTACTAATGGAGATCAATTAGTCTCGACTCGTCTCTTATGGGTATAATTGGAGATCAATTAGTCCCCAACTCAACGCTAACGGGTACTATTAACGATTTAATGATATGTACGCACTTAGTCAATGCAATTTCATGTGCGCCGTTGGCACGCAGGGAGAGTATTCGCCTAACAAAACTGAGCACCCCGGTTCGAATCTCAGCTGGCGAAAATTTTTATTTTTATTTTTTAAAAGTGACTAGTCGCTTTTTATACCCGTTCGGGTATAAAGGTGAACAATTAGTCTCTTCATGTGACATGCTCGAACAAAAGCGAACATTCCCACGACAGCCGGTTCTACGTACCGGAATGACTCGGGTTTCACCCGACCAAGGGCTGTTGTTTCGGCGATCTAACCCCGTTTAGGTCGGCGAAGTATCTTAGAAGTTGTCCGTCCATAGGGCTACATTCACTACGTATTCTCCTACTCAGGGCTGGCATCGAGTCAAACCCTGGGCCAGAAACATACACCTGCTGTGTATGCCGAAGACGATTACACCACAACTCCACCTCAGTCAAGTGTAATGCCTGCGAGGGGTGGAGTCACCTCAGGGTCTGCTCGGGACTACGGACACACAGACAGTGGACCACGTCGTACGTGGCCCCCTGTTGCTCAAACAGAGCAGCCTCCACGGCTAACCATAGTCCGCCCGAGCAGCCCCACACACTCACACAGCAGCCACACACAGTCACCACAACACAACAACATAATAACACCACAGAC